TTGGTTATATTTTTATATTCTGTTCGAAAGCTATTCAGTTTTAGAAAATGGTAAGTAAAATTTGAAAATCTTCTTTTGTTCAAGATAAATTTTAAACTAATTTTCAACTTGAAAATGTCTTAGAATATTTAGAATAGGTTTTAATCTGTGAGTAGATATTAAACTTTTTTTGAAATCAGATGAAGATAAGGTATAAAATGTAAATTGTCTTGTAATCATGATTTTCCCAGAATTTTATTAAATGATTCGTCATATTATATTCACCAACAGTTGTGTGAAAATTAGAATTCAAACACAAAAATTAAAAATGATGAGTTTTCTAAGAATAGAAAGACTATTGTTATTCCCCCCATTTACTTAAAAGCAAGGCGAGAAAATAATTCGTATCGAAATGGTAAAACGTGAAAAAATCTTATCTCACAGAATAAGAAGCATTTTTTGCCCACACACAGATGCATGGTGTTTTTATAACTTTGAGATTACCTGTTCCAGTCACAAAGAACCAATTATTCTTAAGGAAAGTTTATTTATTTTAAGGCTGTGTTTCCAAAAATCCTAGAAAAGCTGAACAAGATTGAAATTTTTTTTTAATTCGATAAACACCGAATAAGCGTAGATATATCTTTGAATTTTCTAAAAAAGTATGTGGAATTGAAACTTCTGTAGAATTGACCACAAATTTCTTCTTTTTTTACCCAGAGTTAAATAATACGTAGAGAAGGTTTTTGCATGAGAGGAATTTTATAATATTTTAAAGGATTATATATCGAAATTGTTTTTTCTCTCACATTATTGATATTGATGACCATTAGTAATAAAATTCTAAATTTTATTGTGAAATGTTGTTACTAATTCCGCCTGTCTGATAATGTCAGATGGACCATGAAATTCAACGAGGCAAAGGGCTTGTCGTTACCCGTAGCTTTGAACACCATACAGTTGATATTACGTTTTGGCTCGGTTCCACCCCGATTTTGAGGGAAAACACCCTAGAGTGGGTCAGAAGCCTCCCACCTCTCTTCCCCCTCTACCAACCTCACGAAAGGACTCGCAGCTTGACGGCTATTTAGAGACCCCCCTTCCGCAAAGGTACTATACATTTACAAACACCCATGTCAACTCCGGGATTTGAACCCAGACCCAACGGCCCAGCAGTCAGCGTCGCTAACCACTACACTGGATGGGCGACTTACTGTGAAATAAAATATTCAGTTTCATCCTTTAAAACAGTTATAAGCGATAAATTTTTAAAATCTGTCAATGAATTTATCTCTCTTTTTCTCTCTCTCTCCGTATATATTATACAGGGTGTCCCAAAAAATAACGCCCAAACTTTTTTTGCACAGCCAAATTCCATGTTGTGAGTACAAAAAAAAAATGGCCAGAGAACTGTACCTATTTACGAGAAAATTACTGTAAATGAGAGAGAGAGATGATGCATGATGGTTTATGATGCTGCTCCGGTGTATTTTTGTGCGCTTGTACGTGGTTGGCTGGATATGGCATACTTCGGTTACTAGATTGGATGAGGGGATTCGGTTCTATGGCCGCCGCACTCACGCACGCACGCACATACACACACTTGAATTGTGATGGATAGATTAAATATCCTACAAATCAGAGGATTCTAAAATTCTGAAATAGAGAACCAAGAACAAGAAATTTATCTGAAGAAAAGTCATTTTGCCCAATTGGACTACTGTTCTGTTTTCAAAAGCTGTCACTGATTTAAGACAGAGAAGTAGGGTTAAGCTTGCGTAATAGGATCATAACCTTCCCCTCAACAGAAAATTTATACACAATAGCGCAAGAAAATTTGAAGAATGTAAACCATAATTGAGAAACATTTAACTCTAAATTTTACACGCGTAAGCAAACTGTAGGCTATTAATCAATTTAACTATTTTGAATGAATATATATTATTGAAACCCAAATATATATAAATAATGTACAATTAAGAATAGCAAACATAAGTTTAGGAACTTACCAAAAATTTCGTAAAAACTAAGTAAAAAATGGGAACAGGAAGCTATATACGAATGTGTGTTCTGTATTGAAAGACAGTTAAAAATATATGTCATATAATATTATGTATATAATAATAATAATAATATATATATATATATATATATATATATATATATATATAATATTCTAATATATATATATATATGTATATATATATATATATATATTCATATATTAGACCTGAAATCTTTTCTTAATGTTATTGCATCTTAAAAAACAAAACTTGCACGTAAGAATAGTTCTGAGGCAAAAATGCTTTCCTTTCCAAAAACGTATATTAACTCTCGACATATAATTAGTTTGCAATTATTTTTTAGAACAATAGCAGATGGATATTAATGTGTCCCAAATTCAAAATGCCATGTCAAAGATAATGTACTTTCCCAGAAATTACGAAAAGTAAATGATTGTGAAATTTTTAAGAATCAAATATCTCTGAGATTTAATTTGGGAAAACATTATGTCATGTCGATATCGTAAGAATTAATGCTTTTAGAATAATGAAAACGAACGGCATTCAGATTCGAAATAATAAAGGAAGTTTTTATGTTCATGAATCGATCTTTTATAAATGCGTATTCAATTTTATGTTAAGAATTTTAATAATATTTCCCAAATAATGATAAAAATGAATTCTCATTGTTAAAATTCATATGCACAAGATCTTAATATAATGCATTCAATACGAAAATGTTTAAGAAGAAAAAATACAGTTTATCTGCAGAATTTAAACATGTAATCCACAAAAGAAGGTTCTAATAGAAAGAGTAAACTGAATTGGATACATTATTTATTAATTTTTGTAGTTTGAATTCTTTGACGCTATGCATTATCTACATAAAAGAATCCTGAAAACTTTGCCATTGTATTTTTGTGTCCAAGAGCTATCTTTTTCTGTTCCTGTATATTTAGTTTGCCTCACATCATTTTATCTTGCATATTTTATAAAATAAGCGAGGAAAATATTGCCTTGGGGAACACGTTTTGAAAATCAACTATAAAAATACAATCCATTAAAGATACTACATCACTTGGAGCATGAGAGCAAAACTTACATTTTGATGCGATGGAGGTTACATTGTATAACTGATATCACTTAATTATTTGTGATATTAAAAACATTCTAACACAAGGGCTAGTTCTAATAATAGCCGGGACATTTTATTAATTCAAACACTTCTTTCTAATCATTAAAAAAGATTATTTCCCTTTAAATTCTTGCTTTTTTAAGCCTAAAGTCAGACTCTTTTTTTGTTCCTGATAAAAAAATTTTTTAAAAAGGATTATACATTTCAGTAAAAAATAAATAAATAATATACGCTTTTAGGGCCTGACATTCACTTTAAATTAAATATTTTCTACATCGGTTTTATCATCATTTGTTAGTGCAAAATATGTCTATTGAAGATTTTTAAAATTTAGAATAATTCACGTAATATATATATAACTTGGTATAATTCAACTGTTTTAATGTGGTTAAATTTGAAGTAAATGCTTACGTATTTAACAAGATTTATACAAATGGATTGAAAACTCAATGATTTTTTTTTATTTTAACGAAATTTACTTACAATTCTTCAACACACAAATAGAAAAGTTCTCCTCAACTTGAGAGAAACAGCCACAAGAACAAAAACTTCCTCTAATTGGAAGAAAAAGATGCGAGTTGAAATTAAAATCTTTGTCTAAAATAATTCTAGATCCAATGTATCATAGTTTTCAAATCAAACATCAAGGAATATATACATGAAAAGTTATATCTTCTTTTGTGTGGGCTCTATGTTCCTGTCCCTTTTCATCTTTACTTCTATAGAGATAAATCTGCTGTAGAAAATTGGAAAGAATTATAATTCAACTCTGAATATATTTGTTTGAACTTCAGGAAATGAACTCGGACTGGTCGGAAGAATAATAATAGAGTAAAATCATACGACAATGCAGTAAAAACAAAAGTGAATGCCATGGCTTAGCTTCCTATGTCATTTCCTACAGAATAAATGCGTACTATACCGGGTGTCTGAAAAGTTTGGCTATACTTTAAAATATAAATTATATATTAACAAGCAAAATAAAATATTAATTATATATTCACTTACGGTTTTTTTGTGTTCGACCGACACACTCATAGTTTTCCCCCCAATGGTTTATAGCACGATTTCAATGTGCGCACTAATAGTTGCGCAGCACTTCGAGTCCATATGAGATTTCTAGCCACATTCTATGAATCATTGAAGAATCAGCATTCTGAATGGCCGCTGTAAATCGATTTTTCAATTCATCAGTGTTACGAACTGGAGATTGGTAAACAATGTTTTTCACGTAACCACACACAAGCAGAAGTCCAAAGGTGTTACGTCTAGAGATCTAGGTGTCCATGGTATTGAGCTCCTCTTTCCAATTATCGCCTGAGCAGCTTTTCAACTAAAATCTTACTCACTTCAAAACTTAAATGTGGGGGTGCCCCATTTACGCAGTACTTGTATTGGAGGTTTAAATTCGATAAACCATTCTACAATGTGCAAATTGTTTTATGGTGAAGTCATTTTGAAACGCGAAAATGTTGTAAAATGTGAACGTTGCGCTGTCTAGTTTGCATTTCATTAAGCAGAAACTTTTATCTTTTCCCTATGCAACATAAAAAACAGTAAGGACAAATCTTTGTTTGTTTATTCAATTCCTACTATTAGTTACACTCTACCTATATATATATATATATATATATATATATATATATATATATATATATATATATATATATATATATATATATCTTTTTTAAATTTTTAGTCGGTGATAAAATACTTTTTTTATATCCATTCAAGTTAAAATACATTTTTAAAACCTTTTAGTGGACGACACTTGATGTTAATAAAGTTAGTTCAAATTTTAATTCATTAATTAATGAACAAATAGGAACAAATAAAAACAAAAAAAAAACAGTACTATATATAAAAGGAAAATCGCTCGTTGCGTCCCCGTAGCGCAATGGATAGCGGGTTGGATTTCTGATCCAAAGGTCGTGGCTTCGAATTCCACCTGGGATGGTCTGATTTCTGAGAGAATGTGGTTTATTTTAACTATGCTATTTTATTGGAGTAATTCAATTTAATTAATGAATAAAAAGTAACAAACAAAAATAATAGTACAACACCCTATATAGAAAGGAAAATGGAAAATTGCAAGGAGAATCGCTTTTATTTTGCTACTTAATAGTATGACTCTGTCATGTGTATAAACATATTTATATTAATTGTAATTATTTAGTAAGAAGTAACTAAAATAAAATTTTTCTTTGCTAACCTAAGTAGGATTTGACTGACATTTTTTTTTATATATTACTTGTTTTTAAATTATTTTTTTTTTAAAGTGTAGTAATACTTTTTGGACACCTTATATATTTTCTTTCGTAAAATAGTTATTAATAAATTATTATTAATGTTTTACATATACAGTACATATTATTTATATAAATAGAAATCTTTAGAGGGTTAAACATCTTAACTTTTTCGATATCTTTTTTCTACTGTTTGGCTATGAAATCAAAATTTAATTCGCACACACCTAAACCTTTTTGATAGTAAAAATATTTTTTTTCGCTTAGGTAAAATTATTCGGATTTATTTGGGGATTGAAAATCCTTGAACTGTCAGTAAGATCAATGAAAATCTTTCTATCTTCTTCCAATGGTAAAGAAGTTATGAGAAAATATTAAATGATGCTCTTTCACAATACCTGCATAGTATTTGGAATTTTTATTGTGTTACGAAATAATGTGGCGAATAAAATAATTCCTACAACATTTTTCAGTTTTTTTAAAAAAATTTTCGGTGAACTTAAAGAAAAAATAAATAAATGGCACTTTGACCGTAATCATATATTTTGACTTCCTTTTCTAAGGTTTTCAAAATGAAAAGAAAAAAAGACGATTCCTATTTCTATCTGTCATATTCCCATTCCCATTCTTTATTTTTATCATTTCCTATTCTCCTTCACTATTGAATACAAAAGGAAAAAAAAATTCCATAGAATGTACATCCTTTGATCGATTACTCAATGAAGTAATTAGAATACAATGAGTAACCTTTTTTTTGAGAGGCTGGTGGTAATAAGTAGACGCTTGCATGATGTAGTTCCTTTAATTTACATCATGTTCATTCAGTATTAAATGCTTCTCAAAAAATACATAGGGGCAATTGCAATCAATAACTGTTGATGAAGAATGAACTGAACAACGTGACATATAAAAGAATTCGAGGGAGGGGCCACATATTTTCCAGGGGGACTTTTCCTAGACTTTTTTCAGAGTTTCAAAACATACATATGTAGAAAAGATGTTCTCTGGTATAGTGGAAAGGAAAAGTAAAACCTAAATTTTTTTAAAGTTCTACTACAAAAAAAAAAAAAAAGGAATGAATTTTAGATACGAGTATTTGAAAGTCAAAGTAATTTTTGTTAAAATGAAATAAGCACTTTAGCGCTTTTTAACATTTATTGCGTTTAGAGGACATATATTAAATAGTTACAAGAAAACAAAAACGGTAATTTAACAGCTTTTTTTTAGTATATTTTTTTAAAAAATTCTTGTGCCAAAATGACAGTGTTCAATAAAGCTGAAAAAAGCTTGGAGCGGACTGATTCGACGGTGCGGTGTGAGGGAACTGGATTTTGAAACGTTGCTATGTATATTATGCTACTTATTACTCACTTAATAGTAATCATCACTTTGGGTTCTTCTATTGTATAGAAAATTAATTATTTTGAATCTAAAATTATCTGAGCAGAATTAAGTCTTTTTTACAATTTTTTGAAAAGTAAATTCCTTTGTGTGGCAGTATTAAATTTTTAAATAATGTTTTATTTCCTTCCTATATATATATATATATATATATATATATATATATAATCTACATAACATAGAGCCTATTTTCAGCGAAGGTAGGTTCCGATTAATAATATTTTCCCCTTCCACATAACTCCAATCCCCCTTACTAAGCACCCATATAAAAACCTTGCAAAAGGAACATGAAATTGACTGTAAAATTAATGTAGTATATAATGAAAAACATTCAGAGTTCAAATTATATATACACTCCTTTTTCTTATATATATAAGGTTTGTAAACACACTTATTGGGCTCAATTCATGTGACGTCATAGTCACATGATAATGATAATCATGCGTTTTTGGCCAATCTGTTCAAAATCTCACGTGACGTCATATCACACGATAAAAGCAATCATGTATTTCCAGCTGATCATGTCATGTGCTTCGTTATTGCCAACTTTTGATCTTTTCAGAAACTTTCTCTTAAAAATACAAATTTGTCATCAACAATAATGCATATAGATAGACAAAATACATTTTATTTAAAAGTACATGCATATAAAATAAGATTTTTTTTTAATTTTAAAATCTTTTGAAGAAATTTATTTTTTATAACATTTGAGCATTCTTACCCAATTATTGTATTTGTTCTAAAAATCTAAAATGTGACTTTTCTCAGTGGCCATGGTAGCCTAGTGGTGAAGGTAACGTATTCGTGGGCGGCGTGTAATGAGTTCGAGCCTAGTACCGTTGATGACCCGCCATGTACGGGAGCGATGAACGTTAAATCTGTCGAAAGCTCAAGCATCCTCGGATTGGCGTGGAAGTTAGGAGACCGGGTGCCCCCTCAGGTGTCATAATCGTCACTTGACTATGGTTCAAAATTAGGAGGTTCGTCGCCAAAACCCTCGAGTAGCTGAATAGGGCGATGTTAATATTTACTCAAGTTTGACTTTTCTCAAAATATAAAAACACAAGATAAAAGGCAGAAAGATGTCAAAATAAATTTTCCTACATTCTTAGATGTTCACATTTAGAAAGACAATTAGGATTTTTTTTTTTGTTGTTGTTTTGCTTAAGGGATCCGACTATACGTTTGCAACCGTGATTTTGCAAAAGCGTATAAATGGTTAATATTTATGGTATTTAGTGTCCCTTAGATTAGAAAACGTATATAAAATTGTTTTAAGAATATTATTACAGTAAAAAATTATTTAAGTATAATATTTTGACCAAAAAACATAGAATGACCCATTTTCAAAATATTCTCTTTTTATGGAAAATGCTTCTATTATAATATTTTGCCTATATATATCTCAGACCATTGTACAGAGGCTCAATTAGAATTTTTGAAATATGTAATTTAGAAGTGGATTTATCCATATTTTACTACAACAGAGGGAAACATTTTAAGAAAAAAACGCCGATAATTATTTCAATTGGTACTAACTCTGAAAATAATGTGAATTTTTCAAAACTCCTAGTTCAGACTCTCTGGAGAGAAGTCTACTTTATATAAGCAAAATATTATTATTATAGAAACATTTTTTATAAGAGGAGAACATTTTGAGAGAAAAGGTTTATTCTAAGTTAATTTTTAGCCCAAATATTGTATTTAAATAATTTTTTTTGTCATAATGTCCTTAAAACAATTTTATACATGTATTATAATCTAAATAACACTAAATATCACGAAAATTATCCATTTATGCGCTTTTTTAAAAGCACGGCTCCGAACGTAGTTGGATGCTTAAACTTGTGAGTGTTGAAATTTTTTAAATGCAAGTTGAATAGAATTTATAAATAAGATTCCAAGTTTTCTCAAACGGAAAAAAAAGTTCCAATGCCCCGTCGAAAAGAACTTGTGGGAATTAAAAGCGTGATTCTGCATGGAAGGAGAGTATCGAATCACAGTAAAGCTAAAGAAATTGGAAGATCTTAAAAGCTTTTGAAAATGTGATCAGACGTGCAAGAGATCTGGTTAATAATGGAAGCTATCTTTCAGAGATCTAAAGCGCATTATCATCTTACAACTATATGAAAAATATGTTGTTGAAATATCATGGATATATGTGTTATCGTACTTTTAATCGAAAAGACACTTGTTTTGAAGAAATGTGATTTCACAAAATATGTCAAGTGAGTTAGTGATAAAATATTAAGGTAGTTATCGAGGTTCAGTCACTCGAGGGCTTTTAGAGACGGACAACGTGATTTTGAACCATTTTCAAGAGACGAGGATGATTCTTGAGCTGGTACCCCTCTCCTGACTTCCACATCACACCCACAGGAGGATATTTGAGCCTCGACAGATTTAACGTACATCGCCCCTTTACACAGTGGGTCTTCAGCAGTACTAGGCTTGAATTCCTCACACGCCGGCCGGGAGTCTGTTACCTTCACCGCTAGACTACCGCAGCCACACAAAACCTGTCAAGAAGTACACTGCTGGACAATTACTAAGGACGGATCACAAATTGCTATGTAGCATAACATTGAGCGAGACATGAGGCCTAGTAGGATAAAATATAGTTGCGACACTGTTCAGACATTAGAATAAAGAATATTTATTGTTCTGGAAAGTACAAAAGCTGTGAAACATCTGAAAGAAAAAAAATGTTCATTTGATCTGCGTACGGAGAAATGGGACAATGCATCTAAAAGTCAGCAGGCACCTTAAAGAAAGGTATCAGTACGGGATATGTCCACCGTGGAGTGTGATGCAACATTCCACACGTCGTACCATACTTTGCACAACATTATCCAGCAGCTGTGGAGGCAATTTATCCCATTCCTCTGTGAGAGCACGGATGAGGGTGTTCTTGTTTGTCGGAGGATGGTTTCGACCAGCAACTTGCCTCCCCAAAGCATCCCCCGCATTTTCAATGGGGTTTAGATATGGAGAACGCGCTGGCCATACGAGACGTTGAATACCCTCACTGTCTAGACCAGGGATGGCGAACCAATGGCACGCGTGCCAATGATGGCACGCGACAGAATATTTTGGGCACGCCATCGATCAAAAACGATTTGCATTTTAGCTTAAAATAATTAAGTTTACTATGAAGTATTATGAACAAACGCGAGTGATTCGTCGCGACGCCGACAAGTCGGGGAGCAGACTCGTTTGTTATGTCTTGCGTAAATACTTCGTATATTATAAATTGCTAATGATGCAAAGTTTATCTACGCATAGTGTGTGTATGTAACTATTTCTAAA